GTCACCCCGGGGCGCAGGGAGCGCAGCGTCCCCACCCCGGGCTGCAGCCGCTGGGCGCGCACCGACTCCATCATCATCGCCGCCGCCTGTCGGCCTCCGTAGCCTGCCCCGACTGAGCCGAGGAGGGGGCCGCGCGGCCCCGGGGCTGCCACTCACCAGGCGAGCTGAGGGGGGGGGGAATGGGCGGGCCTTGCAGGATGGAGAAGCCAATCGCAGCGCAGAGCCCCGGGGAAGAGGCGGGGGATTAGAAGAAATGGCCCAATCACCGAGCTGATTCCCAAAGGAGTGGGCGGGGGCTGAAAGTGAGCCGTTCAATCAGAGCTCGTGTGCCCAGAGATGAAGAAGGAGAGAGGGTGGCCGAATCCAAAGAGAGTAGTCCCAAGAGAGGGCGGGGTTTGAAGGAGAGATACCCAATCACAGCCCGGATCGCTAACGATGACTGAAGAGCGAACGAATCAAAAGGCAGATTATCAATTGAGGGGGCGGGGACGTCTCTGGTCGCCCAACCAGTGGCCTGGCTGGATGAAAGTGGGCGGGGAATGAAAAATCTAGCCAATTAAATTACGCCTCACTGGAAAAAAGACGAGAAATATGATAATACTCCAATCACAGCCCAGGTTGTGTTGTCAGGGGGCGGGGACTATGGGATTTAACCAATTAGAACCCACCTAGCTCCTGCTAGAGAAGGACAGTCATGTTCTAGCGCAATGGATCCTGGGAGTGTGGCCAAGTGCAAGGAATTCTGGGAGTTTGGCCAAGTGCTGAGAATTTTGGTAGTGCGGCCACGGATTCTGGGAAAGTGTGGCCCAGGGCAAAGGGTTCAAGCAGCCAGGACTCCTGGGTTCTATTCCAGTCGTTGGGCAAAGGGTTCAAGCAGCCAGGACTCCTGGGTTCTATTCCAGTCGTTGGTTGCGGAGGGGAGATGATTAGGCTGGTCCCCACCACATCATGGCAGGGAGCACTCATGGGATCTTCCGTTCTTCCCACTTAACCTCCCTCACTATCTGCCATCTCATCTGCCCCCCTTAATTTAGACCCACCCTCCCCATGATCAATCCCCAGCAAATGACTCCTTTCTCATTCACAAGCATCCAAACCCTCCTACACCCTCACAAACTGTGGGTCCCCTAAAGGCAGGGTTGAGTGGGAAAGCAGCATCACCAGATGTTATTAATGTAATTGGATTATGTTGAATCAGCAGGAGGGTCCTGTTCCTCTCCTCACTCTCTCTCTCTTTTTTTTTTTTCTGTTAATGCCATTCAAAATATGTCATCCCCAGGACAAGCTAACAGAAGTGTCGTCAACATGTGGGAAAAGATAGAGACCTCAGGTATGTGACAGAAGTAGTGATGATATGTTAAGCATGTGCTTAGGATAGGGTTTGCATTTGTGTTTGCTCTATCAAGTATCTGAACATTTTACAGGACTCTAAGAATCAAATCACATTTAAATTGTATTTAATCTTCTATCTAAAATGTATATATCTAGATCTTTACACCATGTCAATCGCCTGAGTATCTGAGCCACCTGTGTCTATTTTTCCTCTCTAATTCTGGACAAGAGTCTCCTCCTTTGCAGCTCCCGCAGTCTGGAACAGCCCCACCCGTATCTTTCTGCTTCAGCGATTTTGCTTTCTGATCTCAGCTGAAAATGTCTCTTTTTTCTCACATCTTTCTGCTGTTATTTATTTAACTCTGTGAAGCATGCTGGGATACCATGTATATGAAAGACACTGTAAAAAATAAAATGGTCTTTTATTGAAGTGTATTATAAGGGGCCCATGGAGTCGCAGAGAGAGAGAGGATCTGGAACAAATAGCCTTTATTCAGGGCTTGTAATTAGATATAGTGCAGTGGAGTGAGCAGAAAGAATTAAGAATTGTTGTCCCTCTGCACTATGCTCTGGCTATCCCTTTTGTTTGGCAGGAGTTGGCAGTTGAAGCAAGCGAGGGCACCCACTGGCTCTCCTATGTTGTCACCACCAGGAATGGTTACTCAGCACATTTTTAAATTAGAGCCTCTCAGCAGAAGCATGAAAGTGACAGAAAGAGACTTTGTGTGAAAGGGCGGAAGATGATCAGTAGAGTGACATGCAGGTTTTATTATGGTTGCCTTTAGATGACTACTGACAGGGCCGGCTCCAGGCACCAGCTTAACAAGCAGGTGCTTGGGGCGGCCAAGGGAGAGGGGCAGCACCTGTGGCAATTCGTGGGCGGCAGGTCCCTCACTCCCTCTAGGAGCGAAGGACCTGCCGCTGAACTGCTGCTGCCGATCGCGGCTTTTTTTTTTTTTCCCCCAATTGCCACCGCCGATCGCGGGGTGGCAGAAATGCTGGAGCCGGCCCTGACTACTGAGGACAGGTGGCAACTGGACAGACAGTCTTGAAAACATACTCCTTTAGGGAGGGAACATTGTTCAGTGGTTAAAGCAAAGGGTCTGTGAATCGGGGTTCCTATTCCCAGTTTGAGGGGGGAGTCTGTCTAGTTGTGAGAGCAGGGGACTGGGACTCAGAACTCCTGGGTTCTGTTTCCAGCTCTGCCATTGGCTTGCTGTGTAACCCTAACCCAAGTCACTTCCCCTCTTCCAGTGCCTCACTTTTACCCTCTGTGAAATAGGGACAGTGATACTGACCTCCTTTCCAGGGAGGCTGTGAGCATGTTAATTCATTAATGTTAATAGAGCTGTGAGACCCTCCGACAAGAGATAGAATCATAGAAGATCAGGGTTGGAAGGGACCTCAGGAGGTCATCTAGTCCAACCCCCTGCTCAAAGCAGGACCAACACCAACTAAATCATCCCAGCCAAGGCTTTGTCAAGTCTGACCTTAAAAACCTCTAAGGAAGGAGATTCCACCACCTCCCTAGGTAACCCATTCCAGTGCTTCACCACCCTCCTAGTGAAAAAGTTTTTCCTAATATCCAACCTAAACCTCCCCCACTGCAACTTGAGACCATTACTCCTTGTTCTGTCATCTGGTACCACTGAGAACTGTCTAGATCCATCCTCTTTGGAACCCCCTTTCAGGAAGTTGAAAGCAGCTGTCAAATCCCCCCTCGTTCTTCTCTTCTGCAGACTAAACAAACCCAATTTCCTCAGCCTCTCCACATAAGTCATGTGCTCCAGCCCCCTAATCATTTTTGTTGCCCTCCGCTGGACTCTTTCCAATTTTTCCACATCCTTCTTGTAGTGTGGGGCCCAAAACTGGACACAGTGCTCCAGATGAGGCCTCACCAATGTCGAATAGAGGGGAATGGTCACGTCCCTTGATCTGCTGGCAATGCCCCTACTTATACAGCCCAAAATGCCATTAGCCTTCTTGGCAACAAGGGCACACTGTCGACTTATATCCAGCTTCTCGTCCACTGTAACCCCTAGGTCCTTTTCTGCAGAACCGCTGCCTAGCCACTCGGTCCCTAGTCTGTAGCGTTGCATGGGATTCTTCCATCCTAAGTGCAGGACTCTGCACTTGTCCTTGTTGAACCTCATCAGATTTCTTTTGGCCCAATCCTCTAATTTGTCTAGGTCCCTCTGTATCCTATCCCTACCCTCCAGCCTATATACCACTCCTCCCAGTTTAGGGAGTAAAATTATTTACATTTAACTGTAAGGGTGTTATCATTTCCTCTGGGGGAGAAGTAAAGGGGACACAGATGTATTGTCTTGCGGGAGTTACACAGATGAGTCCCTGGCCATTGAGGGGTGCAAGGGGAGGCTGGGTGCTGAGTTATGAGGGGATTGGGGGTGCTGGGAGGTCATTGGGGGAAGAAGAGGTGCTGGGATTGGGTGGACTGGAGGAGGGGGCGCTGATTTGGGGGACTGGGAGATACGAGCTAGGGGAAGGGGGCTCTGGTCCTGTCTGTAACAACAGGCAGGGAGCAGGCAGAGAAGGGGTGCGGGCCGGGGGCTACAGGGAGAACAGCTGCTGCCCTTCCTCTGCTGGGCTCTAGGGGGCGCAGCCATATCGCGTTGGGTGGTTTCTCCAAGTTTGACCCCTGGGCGCCACCGTTTCATTCCCGGAAGTGGTTGCAACCGTCTCGCCTGTGACCGGAGGGGACTTCAACACCCCCTCCCCTCAGGAACGGAGCGACCCGTCCTCCCCCGGCTTAGACTCCTGGACTAGAAGGCCGAGGGTGGGGGGCCTCCGGCGGAGCTGCACCAGGAGGCCCAAGGAACCCCCCTCCCCAGGCGGAGCTGCACCAGGAGGCCCAAGGAACCCCCGACCCGGTGGAGCTGCACCAGGAGGCCCAAGGCGGAGGGGCGCCAGGCAGAGCTGCACCGGGAGGCCCAAGGCGGAGGGGCGCCAGGCGGAGCTGCACCGGGAGGCCCAAGGAACCCCCGACCCGGTGGAGCTGCACCGGGAGGCCCAAGGCGGAGGGGCGCCAGGCGGAGCTGCACCGGGAGGCCCAAGGCGGAGGGGCGCCAGGGGAGCTGCCCCGGGAGGCCCAAGGCGGAGGGGCCCCAGGCGCAGCTGCACCGGGAGGCCCAAGGGAGGAGGGTGAGGACCCTGTAATCAGCTCACCCAGGAAGGCACGAAGACCTTGGGCCCGGCTGTGCCTGGAGGAGGGGCACCAGCACCATGGATTTCTGGGTGCAGTTCAGTGCCCAGAGCCAAGCCAAGGAGCGGGTTTTCAGGTGCGGTATCAGCCCAGCAAAATATGGGGGGGAAGTCTGGGGCTTCACAAGCCAAGGGTTGCCGGTGAGTAGCGGGTTGCCCCTGCGCCAGAGGGAAGGGATTGAGGTGACCCCAGGTGAATGCGTGCCCTGAGTTGCTGGCTTTGTTGGATCATCCCGGGAATGGTACCGAATTCAGCTGCCAGGGCCTGTGAAATTCCATTGGGACATCAGTGTCGAAACAGTCACCTGTTGCTGCAAATGTGCCACTAGCGTTAGGCCTGGTCTGCAGTGAAAGGTGTTGCTGGCCTACCTGTATCAGGAGTGTGTGTGTGCGGGGGAATCGCACCCTGAACCCACCTAACTATGCCAGTAAAAGACTCTGTGTAGATTTAGTTACAGTGGCAAAAAAAGTCCTTTTGGGTATGTCTATGCAGCCTGCAGCCGCAAGCCTCCCAGCCTGGATCAACAGACTTGAGGTTGTGGGGGGGGGTGTGTGCGCGCGCGTGTGTGCTAGGACTCTGAAAAAGCTGTGTAGACCGTGCTTTGTAGTTGCATCTCAA